TGTTAAGGGTACATTTTGGAGCTTGCAGAGTTGGGCATTTTATTCTACACCGGAAAAGGAAAGCAGTGGTGGAGGAAGAAAAGAGCCTGATTCCATTCACAGGCAAATTTTTCAGTGAAGCTCCTTCATCTTTCTCTCAGGGACCACAGTTTCCAGCTTTGCTCCCAAATAGTACCATGAATCAGCTGACTGGCACCAAAAATGTTTCTCCGCCTTCCAGGGGCAGCTGCCACTTCTTGAGCCAACTCCAAACCTCATGAGACCTACATAGGATAAACAGCTGCTAGAGACTGGTAAAATTAATTTAACATAGAAAGGTTGTTGCATTAGGAGACGTGCTGATTGCAGGATTTTATTTGGCATTTTAAGTATCATGATTTGAAATTTCACTGCTAAGTTTTGTACCAGAAAAATTGTGGGTCAAGCTCCTATGGTAGTGATTCAGCATGGTATCCTCTCCTGGAGATTTCTAAAAAGGTATGTGTCACACTTCTGTGCAGGTTGCTTTGGATAGCAGGAAAGTAGAACACTTTATATTCTCAGATGGGCCTTCTTTTCTTCCTGGAAGTCCCTCTCCTCCCCTCCCCTCTCCTACTGGCAAATTCTTAACTCACCAGGTTCCAGTGAAATTTTGTCTTAGTGGCTCTGTTTCAAACAAGAATATGTTTTTATCCTTTGAAAGTTTGCAATCCATCATAACTCTATGGGAAGCCTATTGGTAGCCTCCTGCTGTTGGCATGCTGGGTTGTCATACACAAAGGATCCTTCTGTCATCATTACTTGGACTATGTATCTAGCAAAATACCAGTGATGTTGCTCTCACTGCTTCTCTCTTCACAAACTGCAGGATTTCCTACAATTGCTCCAAAGTCATCTGGTCCAGGGAGCAGTCATGCTTTTCATTTATCCTCTGGCATCACTAGCCTAGTCAAAAGGTTCCCCAAACAGGGTCAGAAAGATACAGCAATGGAGTGAGGGTGTCTAGTGGTCAAAAGAATGAGAGAACTACACAAACTTGGAAATATAAGACTATAGACTTTCTCCTAGAGTTTCCAGAAAGAAGACAGAATTCCTGATGCCCCAATTATGGCCCAGTGAGAGCCATGTTGGACTTTTGCCCTCTGGAATTGGAATATTATAAATTTGTGTTGTTTTGAGCCAAAACAAAGTTCACCAAACTAATCAAGAAGAAGGGCAGAGTCAGAGTGACTCATACCTTTAGTCACTCAAGAGAATGGAAGTTCATAACATTAGCAGGACCCCATACCAATCAATAAACATGCGTATCATGGTACATCTTTGTCATCCCAGCTTCTGAAGAGGATAAAGAAGGATCAGAGTATAAGTAAGGCTGGACCCCAGACAAAAACTGGAGAATTTATCCAATACATAACCAAAAAGCAAAAATGGGCCAGAGGCATGGCTCCAGAGGCAAAACACCTGTCGCACAGCCATAAGAAGCTCTGAATTCAAACCCCAGAACTGAAGGAAAGATTAAAAAAGAATGTTTTCTTCGCCTTTTTTTGCCATGTTTACTTATAAAGGCATTTTTTTAGAAAAAAATCTTTTTTTGTACATTTCAGATTTCATACAGATTAGCAAGGTAAAGGAGTGAGTGCATCCATTAAACTGTCCAGGCTACAAATGAATAAGGCTTATTTTTCCTCCTCATATTTCAGACCCACAGGGGTTAAGCTTCCCTCCCAATAGCAGGAATGCCACTGAAGGTGAAACCTCTCTTAAACCCTCTCCAGAGTTCTGAAGAAAGTGCCTGAATCTTTCTTTCAGAGTGCTGAAATCTGTCTTAAAACCGTCTCCAGCATGCTGGACTGGTGCATGATGGTGGTGTACCTATCCCTGGGTTGCATGACAAGATTCAGAACAGTTTTCTACTCAACAGTTTTCTATACTATTTTGTAATTCCCACAGTCCCCGTTATAGGAGCTTTAAGACTATGGTGGACAAACACGTTTTTGTCTTCTGTGTCATACAGATCAGTTAAGATAATAAGACTGCCTTGATGGTTTCATGATGTCTGCCATGTGCTTAGGTGAAGAGCTTGGCAGTTGGTACTCATGCTCAGTATTTGCCTTGACTAAAACCTGAACCAGATTAAGTTCAAAACATCATGCACATATTCCATTCCCTACCTGAAGCTTTAGGGTAGGGGAAGAAGATTCAAAATCTCCCACGTATCTATTTCCACATGTGATTCTTTTACATACAGCTTTAGTGAAGATCTTAATCAATCAGGCAAAAGCTCACTATCTTGGAGACAGCATTCCTTCTTTTACTGTCTAGTGCATGCACACGTGTGTGCGCGCACGCACACACACACACACACACACACACACACACACACACGGGGTTGGGGGGGTAGAGAGAGAAAGGAAAAAGAGAGAATCCTTTTCTAGAATACTGAGAAAACTCTGAAAAAATGCTGCTGGCTTTTCCACAAAGCAACAAAGCTTCTCCTTTCCAAAGCAACCCCAACTAGGATCACTCAAGAATTCCATTCATTGTCTGTAGAGCTACTCTTTTCAGATGCTGAGCTCTGTTTTTTCATCTTGTCCTCTCCTATAGATCTGTACATCTAACACAACCCGAAGATCAGGGGTGACAATATTCAGATACTCAGATTAGGTTTCAGACTCTTTCTCTAAAGCCATTTAAGAAAACCTTGTTCAAAGCCATTTCACAAAAGCCAGAATACAAAGTCAATGTCTCTCACGCTCGAGTACAGCAGTATTCTGGGAACTGAGCAAACTGAAAGTGACAAATCAAATCCATTCTTCTTTAGATTGTTTCTTGTCTGCTCAGCCAGAAAAAAAAAATACCTAATTTTTTTTTCTGATGGAAAATATCAAAGAAGTCCATTTCAGAATTCTTTTCTTTTTCAGAACTCTTATCTAAAGAACAACCTTACAAAGAGAAGTGCATCATTAAGTGCCAACCACCTCTACTTCTAGCTTTGTAATCACATTTGTTATATTTTCAAGGCAATCTTCTTCATCAATTTCCATTTCCCTAATCAAATTATATTGTTTCAAAGGGCAATTTTACTTAATACTTGATGTACTCTGCATTACAGTAATGCGCATCCTTGCTCCCTCCTCTCCACCTACAGTAGCCCAGAGCATTTAATGCCATTTATACACTACAGCAGTCTCTCTGCCTACTTATTCTGATTGGGAACAAACCATTTAGTCTGTGGCCATTTCAAAGTTTCCTTCTTTCAAGTTTAGTTGTTATAGTGGACTCAAAACTTCTCTGAGAAAAAAAGTAACGCAGGATGAGAAAATAAGTAAAAAAAAAAAAAAAAAAAGTCAGCTGATTTTAAGATATTAAAAAACAGTCCTTCCTCAGTGAAAGACCAGTTTGCCTTTGAAAGTTAACTCAGAATCTGCTAAAAGCTTCCCACATTCCAAATTGTTTAAGTAAATCTTAGAGAAGGAAGAAGACACAGGGACCCTCAAATGTCTTATTACATGTAAGGCATTTGGAGACCTGGACAAGACTCAATAGACCTGAAGCAGGAGGAGCCCCCTAAGCAGCAGTACAGAGGACCAAAGGGATTCAAATGTGTTGACCTATGAGTCCTCTCTTCCCAGACTGCTCACTGGAGGAGCCTGAGCCCACAGGGGCTAAAGTAAGCAGAGAGAAGATAGAAGTCAGATGGAGTCAGATGGAGTCAGCAGAACATAAGGAGCTCATGTCATTGAGGGAAGGGCTTAGCCTCTATTGTTTTATGCATTGTCTGAGTCTCTTATACTTGTTTAAATTGCATTAAAAAAAGTTGGCCAGTGCTAAGGGCTCATGCTTCTAATCCTAGCTACTCAGTAGGCTGAGATCCTAGGATAAACGTTTGAAGACAGCCCTACCATACTAATTTGAGAGACTCTTACCTCCAATTAACCAGAAAAAGTCAGGAATACAAGTATGGCTCAAGTGGTAGAGTTACAGCCTTGAGTGAAAAAGCTAAGCAAGACCATGAGGCCTTTGCTGGCACAAACTAAAAAAAAAAAAAAAATGAATAAAGTTATATGGTACTATACTATGTAGTAGTGAAGTAAGAACTGTAAGATACCTCATCAGACATATTCTGGTCAAATGTATTTTCTGTTTAGTATAGTATATTAAACTGAATATTTTAAAAGAATTCAAAAATACAAAATATGCTACAAGGGGTTTGTTTCAGCAAAAAGTTCCACCTACTCCCTTATTCTTCAACAGAACAATACCCAGTGGAGGAGTCCAAGTACAAGACTCTATGATATGACTTTGCAGGCACATTCTGAAAACTACTAACTTAGGAGTTCTGAAACTTTTTTTTTTTTTGGAATTTTTTAAGTACCTACCTTTACTCAGCAGAAAATAAGAAACATGCCATCTCACATTTTTAACTAGTTCATTTTGCTAATTGTTTCATCTGTCTTTAAATAGAAAAATGAGACTAAACTAAAAAGCTACATTATAAAATGTAGGCCACAAATATATCCTGTACCTTAAATAGTTAAATGAGCATCAAATGTCATGTTGTTGCGGTTGTTTTTGGAGTGGGGTGGTTAAGTGTTGTTTTTTCTCTTCTTTTCTCTTTGGGTATTAGGGATCAAACCTAGGCAGTTGTATGTGCTAGGCAAATTTTGCCACTGAGCTACATTCCAGCTCTGTATATGTTTTTGAGGGATTTTTGTTGTTGTTGTTGTTTGCCAGTCCTGGGGTTTGAACTCAAGGCCTGGGCACTGTCCCTGAGCTTCTTTTGCTCAAGGCTAGCACTCTACCACTTGAATCACAGCACCACTTCCAGCATTTTCTGTTTATGTGGTACTGAGAAATCGAACTCAGGGCTTTATGCATGCTAGGTAAGCACTCTACCACTAAGCCACATTCCCAGCACATGTTTTTGTTCTGACAAAAATAGGTGCTTAAAATAAGTACCTGGGAAGAATTATTAGCCAATGATGGTGGATCTGACTTAAAGCACCACATAACAATGTGCATTTACATCACCCTTTTATTTCATAGTTAGAAATAATACAGTTCCACAGGGTAAATCATCAATAAATAACGGTGTTTCATCATTAAACGTAAAAATCCCAACTCTTTGGCATCTGACAGGATTCTATTTCTTGTCAAACTAATGACTGTATAGATATAGTTCCATCTTAAGTGATCATTCATCAGTACAATATGTTACAAAGGTGCAATTTACTTTAAAATGTACAACAGCTGAAAATTTCCAGCCCACCAAGAAATCTGATCAACTCAGTAAGACAAGGGCCAAACTTCCCAGGACTCTTTCACAGCTTGCCTATGTGAAAGTATAATAAACATTATGAGTTCCTAGGGTTTTCTAATACTTACTGCTCTAAATAAAGTTTGCCATTCATTCTGGCTAAAGAAAAATCACAATTGTTACCAGGAACAACCCACTCATTAATTAAATGGTGTTCTTATTTTATAAGCAAGATTACTAACCCCTAAGAAACTCACAGTCCCTAAAAGAAAATATAAAATATGCAGTTGCATGTTTCTAGGAATGCCAGATCAGTAATAAATTGCACCTTTAAGATTAAGAAAAAGAAAAAAAGAAAATGTTTACAAAAGGTAAGTTACACACAATTTTTTCCAAAATATATTCCAGAATAGTTGAGCTGTGTTTGTTACTAAAGCTCAGACATTATTTCTTTAGTAACAACTTAAACCAGTTCAATTGACATAAATTGTTAAGTAATCCAGGATTAACCTATTAAAACTGTAGAAGCCCTTTAGGCTCCTACACTAATCCTAGAAACTGGAATTGTGATGAGTACTGTGATGCATGGAACTAAACTGGAGTGATCCAATGCCTTGCGAATGGTAGTACTTCATACTTAGTTAAACATTCAATAGGAGAAATCATGAGATCCTCTATTTAAGTTCCACTCACTTACAGAAAATTCAGATGCAAACAGTATTATGCCTATAATCCAGAATTAGAAGAATCCTTTCCATTTTGAAGTTCTGGATGAATTTTAAATTAGAAAATAAGCGCTAAGGAAACTTTTTCAACTTATGAAAACTTCATATTGGAAACTTTCTGGAAAAGCTTCCCCCCCACACCCATTGTAAAATAAATACTTTGTATCCCAAATTTAATTTCATTAAGACACACTTTAATAACGCTATAAAGAAATATTTTACAGCCATAGAGATCAATAACTTTCCATGCGGAAATAAAAAATTCATTGCTCAATAATATTATTGAGGCAAGTGAGGAAAGATTACTCTCTTAATCTGAAATGTTAGGTTTTTTTCAGTGCAAAACCAGTTATAAAATATTTAAACTCAATATTTAAAAATAAAAAGTGGTCCAATTCAGCAATGTTCAAGTTCTAAATTTCAAAAGAACAAATCATTACATACATTTTATAGTAAAATACAGAGATTCGCAAAGTACTTGAGTACTTGAGATATAAATTTCTAATGAATCATACAAGTCAGCAACAACCAAGCAGATAACATTCTCAGTTTGAGTGTCAGAATCAGAAAGATGAAATTACTGTACCAAATCTTTTTTCTCCTAGCTAAATAGCTATACAAACTAATGGTCAACATTCTGTTTCCTTTGCAGTTGCGTGCTCTAGAATGATATTCCCCACCCCCTGCCCCCATCCTAAGTACTTGTGATTTCATTCCTGTATTCAGAATTGATCCAAACAATTTTTATGTTCCAGGAACACTTAGCTGAAATAACCATCTATAATGTGAAGAGTCATGTACAGAGTACAGCAGATTTTTCTCTAGCCAAGCACAGGCTAACCTAAAGTGGTTTCAACTCTGGGCAAGTCATTCATGTATTATTTCTAGCAAACACTCGGTCCCCTCGGAGGGTTAGGTGTTGAAGTTGGTACTGTAGCACTTCTGTGTCAGCTGGCTCCTTGATGTTCATTTTATCTAGATTGAGGTAGTCCAGAGATTTGGAGTGAGCCCTCTTACCTTTAAGAAGACAAAGAGGCAGTGGCCCATGGAGGGCCTTATAAGGTTCATAAGGTAAGGACTTAGTGCACTTGTCTCCTGAGCTGGGCATCCGTCTTCGCCTCCTGCCATTCACAGCTGGAATCTCATATGGCTGATAGTATCTACTTCTGGTTTTATACAAACGCGAGGAACGTGCAAGTCCTGCATCCAGCTGTTTGGAGCGCAAGGAAGGCATGGCTTCACCCTTGCTCTCTTCTCCTGTGCATTTCTGGGCTAACTTCAGGAGTTCCTCACCAGTTGTGAAGCCAACCAAATAGTTAGAGTCCATGTGTAGGATCTGGTAGCCTGACACAGTCCGACGCATGGGTGAGCAGGGTGTGCTAGAGCAGCGGGGTTTCTCTGCCTCTGTTTTTCCCGGGGAACTCCCCTCTGCCACGGGCAAAGGCAGGGTGGTCAGAGTACTTCTGGATTCACCATTTATATCTACTTCCATTTTAGGCACCAGTCTGCAAGCTCCTAAAAGTAAACAGATTCAGGTTAGAAAATAATTGACCTTTAGCCAAGCTAGATCCTTTCAGAAGTCAAGGAGCGTGAAGTAATACTAGCCTAAAGGTAACAGGACATGTAAGGGATAGATTGGTGTCTATGTCTAACACAATTTGAAGCAAGCATGAAATGACCACTATCTCTCTGCTTCCCAGAACTCAATGGCAGGTTAAATAAAAAACGACAGTACCTTGAAAAAGTTCAGAAAACAATACTAAAGGCAACACACCATTCAGCCATATTACGTTTATTCCTTTAAGCAATATTAAACAAATCGAATAAAGTTCTAAATATTACGCAAATAAAAGCAAGCTTATCAAGTTTCACAGGACTTTTCAAAAATACTTCTGACTGAAAACTAAGATTTTCCCTCATTTAATTCAGATTAAATTTTCAGCTTTTCAGGACTGTGATTTATTACAATTGCATTCAGGGCATGTAATACAATTGTCCGAGCTGATCAATCTCTGCAAAGAATACATATTAGTCCTAAAAATATTTTTTGGTTATGAATGAGTCCTTGAAGATGGTTCTCTTAAACATTCCAAATGTTCCTCTTTTGATGTCCCAGTACGTTAAAGAAAAAAAATTTATATTTTGAAAGTTAATTCTAAACCAAATCCATCATGTATATTGTGGTATTTAACATATAGATAGTAAATGTAATTTTATGACTATTTAATCATAAAACATAGCAGGCATTGACAGTTATATATTTTACAATGCCTATGATAGTATTATTTCAAATAGTTTAATAGAAGGATGACTCACAATGAGTTCTGATATTATTCATTGCAACTGTCACAAGACATTTTGAAAAACGTCAATGACAAGAAGTTCTACACATAATGGCAAGGTTCCTAGAAAGTTGCAAGTAAAATAAATTTTGGAAAACAAGATTAGTGAAAACAGTGGTAAAGTCATTTTGGAGAAACTCTGTTCCTACTTAGTTGTCAATTGGAAATAGTTTGCACAGTTTTGAGTATACCTTGCAGATCACTAATCAAAATGTCAAATAATTGGGCTTAAGATTTAAAAAAAATACCGAAAAGGGTATTCCATCACATAAATTTCAGGAGTTCTTTTATAAAATGAATCACTTTTCTAAAGTGAAGAATTTCCTCAAATGTTGATACCTATTTAAAAATCTAAGCAACTAGAAAACCAAAACCAAAAAAAATCAAAAACAAGTCAAACAGCAAAACCAAAGTGACTGCTTCCTTTTTATACTCTAATTACACCACTTGCTGACTATGAATCAGGAGGCAGCACCATCCTACAACATTTCATCTACAACAAGTGAAAACCAATCATGGTTCTTAAAAGAAAGCAAACAGAGATCGCTCTATTCCAAACCTTAAACTATTTTTAATTTTCACTGAACCAAAATTTCGTAATCTTTCAATCCTTCTGACATTAAAGTAGCTGGCTTTATCTTATTAACATAAAGAAAACTACTTATCCTATAGTGAAATTTCTCTACTGACAGGATCAGAATACTAGCAATTTTTTTGGCTATGTACAGTAGACATCTCAGCTAATATACTTTCATGGATGAAATGGCCCAGAGTTCAAGACCGACCAAAAAAAAAAAAAAAAGACAGACAAAAATGTTTGATCCTACATTAAACTATCATGACAGACTAAAACAAACCTCTGGAAAATCTTTTTTTAAAAAAATTACAAAATTTTTTTTTATTGTGAAAATACCATACAGAGGGGTTACAATTACATGGGCAAGATAATAGTACATTTCTTATCAAGCATTGTTGCCTCCTCCTTGTTTCCCCTTCCTGACAAAGTTGTAAAGTTAGTTTTTGACATAACGACTTGTACATCTCATTGTTGCAATGGGTCCATCTGTATCCCTATTTAAACTATTTGTTTTTGCCCTTCCCCTCCACAAATTATACCAACATCAAATACAGTGAGAGCAGGGTTATACCGTGGGGGACATACAAAGCAACAAAGAAATCATCTTATAGATATGTTAGAAACAATCACATGAAAGAAAAAAACATTTGAATACTTATGAAATTCATAGAATCCCTTTGAGATGAGGACAAAGGGGAAGAGGACGTAATAGCTTAGAGGAAGAGGCAGAAATGATCTGCCAGTTAGCGATTTAAGTACGTGGGAAATTAGAAAAATTAAGAAAGTGAAATGTAGGAAGGTTCAAGATTAAATACACTCTATTATTAGATTAACAATTACTATCAATAAGGTTCTAGCAGCCAAAAATGCCATAAAAAGTATCACCTGACATGGCAAAACTATCCAAATAGAAATTCTGACATCTACCTGGGAGGTTAGAAGTAGAAAACAAAACAAAAACAAACAAAACAGATAAGGTTGTAGTAAGAAGTATTCTATAGTTTACTGACGCAGATAAGATACTGTAGAAAATACCATTTAAACAAAAAGTTTCTAAGCATTTCTAGTATCTCTCAGTAAAATTTCTGAATGGCTCTTTTCCCTGGACATCAAAGGCTTGTTTTAAATATTACATGTACAGATGCTATTTGCTGAACTCCTGATGAGCAATTCTAAGAGCTGAAAATGTTTGTCTTTCTTTTAAGCTAACATCAGTACCCTGCTCTAAATAGTTCATTTTCAAAACAGCTCTTCTGAGTGGATTCATTCTCTGTGCATTCATTGTTCTACAGAAAAAAATGCTTATTAGGTCTTGTTATTCAAGCAAGACCATGACTGGTAGAACCAAGAATCTCACAAAATTACATTTTTAAAGGCTTCCTGCTAATACATGTTACTCTTCTAAAGAATACATGTAGCATGTAGCCCATGGAGTCTGGGTTTCAGAGAAGAGATTACTGAGTGGCAAATATGTGATTTATAATGTTAACAGGTACAATATAGTTAGACTAAGCACTCAGTATAATTCCAGTTCTTCAATATAAAACAATTATTTGCAGCATTACTTACCATAGCTAAGATATGGAACCAACCCAGCCAGATGTCCCTCAGTAGATGAGTGAAACAAGAAAATGTGGTACATATATACAATGGAATTCTATGCTTCCATCAAAAAGAACGACATCGCCCCATTTGTTAGGAAATGGAAAGACTTAAAAAAAATCATACTAAGTGAAGTAAGCCAGGCCCAAAGAAACATAGCTTCCATGGTTTCCCTTATTTGCAATAATTAGTATGCATGTAGAATGATCTTTTCAGATGAGCTGAAAAGCTCAAAAACCATGTACAAATGACCATATAAGACAATGCTAAGTCAGCCTGCATCCCCAGTTAAGTGTTCCCAATATTCCTTCCCCTCCCTAAATTACAAAAATATATATACAAGATGCAGGACACCGGCATCAAATCATGAAAACAGGGGTTATACTGTGGGGTAAGTACAAAAAAAAAAAAAAAAGAATCACATAGTGCATTCTAAGTTCATTAAAAACACTAGCAAGAAAGAATAAGCCACTTGTGTCCCTATCTTGGGGTACATTTTGCTTAACATTATCTCATGTGGTCATATGAAGATGTACAGGACACTATGTTGAAAACGAACTAAAATGTTGGAGTTGGGGAAGTGGGGAGGGAAGTGATGGTAGGGGGAAAACAAAGGAAGAGGTAACAATGCTCACTACGAAATGTACTCGTAACCTTACTCATGTAACTGTAACCCTTCTGTACTACATTTTTTACTATAGATAGATAGATAGATCGATAGATAGATAGATAGTGCTAAGTGAAATGAATCCAAAGATATGGACACAAGAGATCTGTCTTTATTGTTATTGTTTTAAATGTACCATGTGATCTTATTTGCTGTTGTTGTTGTTGTTTCCTTTGTATGTTCTTTCCCAGATGGCATATCCCCTGTTGTCACTGTACTCGATTTTGGTACCCTGCATCTTGTATATACATTTGTCTAATCTGGGGAGGGAAGGGGAATAACAAAACATGAAACAAGGACACAGGATGACCCATTGTAACAAAGATACCCACAGGACAATATATTGGAAATGAACTTTACAACTTCAGGCAGCGAGGGGGGAGGGGAGATAGGAGTGTGGGAGGTGGGGGAGGGAGGGAATAGTGGGACAACAACAAGGAAAGGAAGGAGTAACAATGATGGACAAGTCATGTAGTCACTGCCTTACTCATGTACTTGTAACGCCTCTGTACAACATTTTAACAATAGAATTTTAAAAAGTAATAAAATTTACATTACTAAATTCCTGAAATTTTCTTGACTGGATTTAAATATTGAGGCAAAATTGTGAGCAAGTTTCTCAGGTCATGTTTACAAATACAATCAATCTGCTTAGTTATGTCCCTTCTGAAAAAGGCTAAGTGCTTTCTAATTCCAGAAATCTACTTAAAGAAAATAATATTAAGATTAAACAGTCTGCAAGTCAGCATGCCCTTGGCTCCCTGAAGCTGGAATTATAGGTGTACTCCACTGTACCATCAAATATTTATAGAGGTGTCCAATATCTTCTACAGCAAAACTTCTTTTTTTTTGTTTTTTATTGTGAAAATACTGTACAGAGAGGGGTTACAGTTACATGAGCAAGGTAATGAGTACATTTCTTATCAAGCATTGTTGCCTCCTCCTTGTTTTTCCCCATCTCTTCCCTCCCATCTCCACAACTACACCCCACCCCACAACTACACCCCACCCCACCCCTGCACTACAGCAAAACTTCTTAGTGTGTGAATGTTGGGGATTTGTCCCAGGGCCTTACACATGCTAAATATATGTTGTATCACTAAACTACATTCAGCCACCATATTTCTTACTACAAAGCATTCATAGGGAAATTAGTCACCAAAACTACAACTAGAGATAGCTTATGCTTTGTAGCACATTCCTCTGGGTTTAACATGAAAGAACTGCTTATGAGATGGTTATTTTTAGCAAATGTATTCATGACTCAGCAGTTTTTGTATTGCAAAATAAACCTGCATCTAAAAGGCAAGCTGCCAAGATGGAGGAT